ATGCCGACCGACTAGAAATGAGGTGAATTAATCAACAATCATTAAAATTGCAGAGTCCCATCAAATTTTTAATTGCTCGATATATTAACCATGAAACTGCTTGAAAAAACTTCCAGACGCAAAATTTTCCTTGAAACGCCGTCTGAATCTCACAGCCACAAAAATTACTTCCTTTATTTCGAGACGGCTAATCACAATTAGTGAAGCTCGCTTTAACCTAGCCAAAGAAATTAATAGGAGTAATATTAATAGGAGTAATATTGTTAATAATAATAACGATAGCACTAGCCAGAGGGTTAAAGCCGTGAATGGGAACGTTGAATGCCTTGAGGCTTGCCCAAGGTGTCCCCATATGGCACTCTCACGCTATTATATGAAAACAGCCTCGGGCAGAAGAATCGCTTTGAGTCCAGCACAACAATTTCATGCGAATGCTGCTCAATCGTGTTTATTCCTCATCAACATCACGTCCGACGGCTTTACCTCAGCTACTTTCACAGATATATTTCCTCAGTTTCACATCTAAGTGAATTTGCCATTCAAAGAAACCAGTTTTTTGCCTGAAAGCTGGATAGATTTCACACGATTTGACAGTAGTTTCAATTGTACCAAAAAATTTCTCACTGTTTACCTTATTTCTTTCATACTTCTCCCATGATATCGATCTAATCGATTGAATCTTTGAAACGCTATCGTGATATCACCATTCAGTACCGAGAATCCTCCAGAATCTATTGTGATCGTGAATATTTCGGTGATCAAGTCTAGATCAGATGCTTCTAATCGTAAACTTGATCAGTTTTATCGCATTGCCTAAAATTGCCAAGAACAATAGTTATTAGTTAGTTCTGCGCCGTCGCGGTTTTTGGGATGATCTGTCTGGATTCATATGCTCTTAGATGTCCGGAAGACACCAAATTTACTGGTCCAGATCTCAAGAATGGGATGGAAAGTGCCCAATGAGTAGTGATACATTGAGCTGACCTAATTAGAACTCTGAAAACAGTGGCAACGAACCGTAATTTATGCCGTGACCTGAATTATATCTGACATTCAGCACACGAGTTATTATTCAGATGCATTCAGCAGGATAGAGTAAGTCCCACTGAATCCTTTAAATTCAGATGCTATCGTCCAAAGTCGAACCCAACTCTTCTATCAGCCCTGGTTCAGTCGGATCATCAAGAAAACGAAGTCGCCTAGATGAACTCATTGATGTTCTTGGAGTCAGCGTGCATTCCACCAAATCATCAGTCCATTTGACTCCTCATCTAGGCAACAGAGTTGAGGCAGAGCACCTAACTGTTAGGTCAGGCAGCAGCTCTGGAACTGGAACTGGAACTAGAGCATCCGAGAAACTGAAGTCTTCCAACAACTCAACAACACGACAATTACGAGTTAGCTCCCTTCATATGTCAACGTTTCGAAGGGATAATTTCAATGAATCCAACGTAATCAGTGAAGATTTTCAAACTAACATTCAAACTCTGGAATGGATTAATTTCAAAACAATTTCATTAACTATGAAATAAATTACCTTGCCCTTCGATACTGTAACATTTGTGGATGTGATTCGAACTTAGTGGTATCTCTCTCTGCAAGACTATCATGGCATTCATGTGAAATCACAACCATCCATCATAAACGATGATCCAAAATTCCATCAGATTAGAACGATTTTAATGATTCGACCGCATTCGCATTTTAGTTCCAGCCGCTGAGACGACCTCAACCGTTTAACGCTATGTCCGAGCCGTTGGCCACCTCGATGACGGCAGCAGTACCTCTGGCCATCGGCGGGTGTCGTCAATGTAGGCGAACGTTTGCCACTCGTCTCGAGTTCATCCATCATATGGTGGATCATTTTCCGGCCCTTTTCTACAGTTTTGAGCCATTGTCACTGAAATTCGACCAATGCAGCTCTCCTTCAGCATTCCAGAACTCATCACTAGGTTTGGTTAAATTTGCACCAATTTACTGGTGTGGTGGCTCGATAATAGCATGCATGCATGCCTTATCGCGTCAAATATTTGCGTGCCGTTGGCACACCAAATTTCATTTGTATCAAACTCAAATCATCAATCGAACTAGAGATAATCTCCAAAAGAAAGACACCAGCACAATTCAGATTTCAATCGGAATGAGCTGATAAAATCCGTGCCCATGTCGCTTTCCACAGCAATTCTTCCGCTGGCTCCATTGTCTCCGAAAACAACAGCGAGTATTGGCATTAGTCGGTAAGTTTAACCATTTCATTGCATTCCATCGACAATATTCTCTGCAAATTTTTATTTATAATTTTCATTTGAACAGCTAAAATCAAAATAAAGTCCTAAAAGAATATTAAAATGAGGATATTTCAATGATTTTTGTGAATTCATTTGAGAACTAGACAAAATTCAATGATTATATAAACTTGCTTGATGGTCACTGACGACTGAAATCGATCTCGAATAGCTATCAATATTCAGATGTCAATTCAGTGATGAAACGGCAAAAAGTCGATCAGAGGAGGCTACCTCAATGCCTTCAAAGGACGATGATCTACCGTATCATATGTGCCCTCATTGCTTCTCGACATACGCTGATACGGTCACCTATGAGGCTCACTTAAGTCAGCACGAACAACAACAACCTCAGGTATTTTAAACGTATACATTTGCACTCAACGGGTAAAAAGCTGTTGACTGTCATCTTATAACATTGCTCTTGCGTTTTCTTGAGCTCAGAAGCTCGAAGATTCAAATCTTGAATAAACTGAAATGGTCGGCGGAATGAAGCCCCAAATGGTCTGATCCCTTGAAACTCTTCGTATTCCATTTCCTAGTATACATCTACGATAGTAACTCTTATTTGGAGCTTTCTTAACTGGCTAGAAGGCATTGCCGTTTGTGAATTATTCAAACAAATGAATAGTTTCGCCCTCGAACGACAGACATTTCTAACCAATGAACATTAAGTTTTTGGCCAAATCAAAATGATATTCTGTGTTAGAGCAAAAGGATTTTCAAAATCTTATCTTCAGGTGGTATTTTGCTCGAGTGCATGTCACGGCAGATCACAGTCTCACCTGTCAGCATCTTCTAAATCAACTCATAATTCGACACCAAACAAACCAAAGAGACTCATGAAAATGGAGGCAGTAGATGATTATCATCACCATCACCATAATAATAATCATCGAATAGAAACAACGGAATTATCAGTGAGCATTGATAACAATTCTCCAGTGCAACTTGGACATTCGGCTGAGCGCAACGACTTCTGCGGAGAATGTGCGAAGGTGAGTAGAGTTTAGTGATCGCCAACTAGGCTCTAGGCTCTAGGCTCAATTTGAGGAGGCCTTTCACCTGATGCTCGATTACACTGCACGGCTCAAAATTTGAGACCCTTATCAGGCAAATGCTCAAAATTTCACAGCTTAGACCAGCTTCGGCTCAGTTCCCAGTGAGGCTGTGAGCAGTGACGTTTTTTTTAAAGTTCGGATTCTTTATAACGTTCTACGTATAACATTGGATGAAAGGTTCTTACGTGCTGCAATGGGATATTCCTATGTTGATCTGGAATCACAATATTTGATCTGGAATCGCCATACAGCTCTAGCATTTTAGTTCCAGTGGATAGAAAATTTTAAAATGAATTAGGAAAAATTTCAAATCAGAGCAAACTCATACATTTAGCCCATATCTATTGAAATATTGCGGAGGTTTTGCTTAAATTGCTTAAAAGTTTAAGGTTTACAAGGGAGTGTCTGCACCTGGCGTCAGCATCCGTAGCTGTAGACCAGTAATAGCACATAGAATGCTTGGCTACGAATGCACCGAGTGTAGTGACAGAGCGAAGTCCACCGTTAATCAGCACGTTGAAATTGAAGAATCCACAAAACACAGCAAGGTTTGTTGACTGCAGCAACTTTATTTTAAAAAATTCCTGATTCTGGATACTTCTCCATTCCAGTCAGCATACCACCGGATGCAGTGTGAAAATCACCCAGACGGCTTTCGTTCCAAGCTGATACAGTACTCTTGATCACTGAGAGCTGATCAATAATAATCCACTAAAACGATCAGTCGACAAAATTCAGAAATTTTTGAAAGATACTTAAAACCTCCTAAATGTTGCTTCCTCATCCACTCTTATTATCATATCCATACAAACTTATCCCTACTTATAACTTTCGTTTTAAATAAGGGCTCATCTCACACTCACTTCTTAAATTCAATCGACCAAACCGAGTTAAAACTACTGGCTTCAATCCACTCTTGTATCAATTTCAATCCATTGTCGAAATTCCATACTTGCCGAATTTCGATAAACTTCTGATGAGTTCCCAACATCGTCTGCAATCTCTAAGAATCGCTTGAAACAATCCTCTGAATAAAGTTCAACCGAAACCAGGAATTTTATCGAATTTACAAAATCTTCATCAAATCTATCAAAAACCAATCAGTAGAGCATCAATTAGAGCTGGCTCTCGATGAAATCAACGCTTCTACAGAAACTAATTCATGTAAGATTCGAGTTATTTGCCAATATTCAGTTACACATCAGAATATTCAGTTGAAACGANATCAATTAGAGCTGGCTCTCGATGAAATCAACGCTTCTACAGAAACTAATTCATGTAAGATTCGAGTTATTTGCCAATATTCAGTTACACATCAGATAATTCAGTTGAAACGAGCACAAGGATCCAGCAACGGTGATAATTCTGGTGGTGATGAGCAGAAGCCGAGGATCTCCTCATTCAGATGCAATACCTACATCGCAAGTCTACTCAACAAGTACTCCAATAATCGTCGAAATCACACGATAGCGTTGAAGCATAAAAGCAGATTGCCTTCTACGTCGAAGAAGCGTACCAGATCTGGGGTTGATCCCAGCCGGTCCACCGGTATTCCGTCTGCTACTTGTACTACCAAAACCTTGAGTGATGAACATAATAGCAGTAACAATTACGGGAATAGCAACGATAATAATAACAGTGATCGTAATGATAAGAATGATAAGAATACTTCCAGTCCAACTGACAACCCTTCTGAAGCAAATCCTGAAAATAATTCCTAATGATCATGGAAAATGGCTTAAGCTCAAGATGACTTACGGTCATGGAAACCACTTAAGTTCCAGATCGGCTGATAAACCGAGATTAACCAGCTTTGAGAGAGATTTGTATCGTTTCCTTCGTAAGGATTCATCGNCCAGATCGGCTGATAAACCGAGATTAACCAGCTTTGAGAGAGATTTGTATCGTTTCCTTCGTAAGGATTCATCGATTTTGATTCCTGGCTTTGTAATCCCTTATTTCATCGATAACGAATGAAAATTATTATACCAAAGACCTGAAAATTGAGAAGAAGAATCGCCATCGGCGTTTATATTCGACCCTCTGAAAATGTTTCACAATTTGTTTGGAGTGTTGAATACTGTTGACTTAATATCCGAAGCTGAAATATATAAGTCGAGTGTCCACAGCTGAAATTCTATGCCGATGTATTATCTTCAGGCAAGTTTAGGCTTCCATTTTAGCCAATCCAAACCACTGAAATTCTCAAAATGAGTTCCCCAACTCCTCCTTTATATATCAGTCTGAAAATAAAAATTCTGTCGCGTTTTGCCTCTGTCTTCTTGGTCAATATGTCCTTTCGGTGTTTATTCTGTCAATTAAAATCATCAGTCGAGTAAACCAAATCGAAAACAAAACATTTATTCGTAATGTGTGCATATCAAGATAATCCAAACTCATTGAT